TCAGTTCCAGTGGTGTTCCGTGATGGGATTACAAACTTTGATCAAATACTTTTATCAAACGAGTCATTACAATTGTTACGATTCATTATTGCACGGGCTTATATTGGGTTTGTGCAATAATTTTATATATACATACTGAATATTGCTATTTGATGCCATTGAGATGGAACATTCATCCAGCAGTGGACAGCTTGATACTAATACCACCAAAGTGTTATTCAAAATAATTTTAATCCCATCCTGATCCTGCACGTTCCGTTTCACATATCCAACCCTTGATTCGCACGTCCATATTACATACAAACATCTTCTTGGTTCTTTCGGTAAAGTCACGTAGAAGGGAGGTAATCAAATAATAAAAATAAAACATAATAAAATAATTCTCACGACGTTTCGGCCACAATGCAAGCAGCCGTCCTCAGGTGAAAACCAGGTCTGTCGGAGAGACAGCGTCTGAATGAAACACCACCAGGCTTGGAGCGTATATTAAAGCTGGGTTGGAAGTGGGGAAGAGCGCCTTAACAAAATAATTGTGTTGTCTGTTTTTACGATTTGTCCATTGATGTTGTTTTTTTTTATTGCAGCGTTTTTTTGTTGAGTTCTGTCACTTGAGTGTTGCAGTTTGTTTAAGAATTCGTCACGTGAGCGTGGTGTTTTGCTTGTGGGAATTTCGCTTTGTCACAATTTGTGATTGTTATAATAATTGCAACGATTCATAATCGCATGAGTTTATAATTGGTTTGTGCGTGTATTTATATAAATGTATTCCGTCTTTTGTTATTCGATGACATCTAGCAGTGAAAATCGTGATTGTAATATGACCATGTTGTAATTGTAATAATTTTTATCCGATCCTTGCACGTACACTATACATACATTTGAACAGTGTTAGATTCTTATACGACCACACTGTGATTCTAATGCTATTATAATACCTTACCTCCGTTTATATGGTTATAAATTAAAACACTAGCTTATAATCGTTTAATGTTTAGTGTTATCGTTTATAGTATTACAGTTTACATGGTATACAGTAGTTTATCCCCGACATACTTCGGGATTAGGGACTGGTACGTTGATGAACGATTAACTACGGGGACCTTTCCCCTGAAGGAACACGTGTTAATCGGGTAGACAGCCAAGATGCTGCCGGTTAAGGGCACACTTGTGTGACGGAGATCCTCCACCTGAAACTCTCTTAACACGTTTTTACTAGGAACATTTTAAAATAAAGAACGGACAAACATTTGTTCAAAATACGTTTTTATTCATCTGCAATAATGTTGACGTTAAAATTCGTCCTATGTTAAACAGTTACAGTACAATGCAAACCATATCCGTTCCAGGAATACCAAAGCGTTAAAGTATCATTCTCCAATATTTTCTTATTAGTTCATCACGTTTGTTGAAATCAAGGCCATATATCCAACGAACGCGTCATCAATGTACATCCTGAAATCAGCTATCTAAAGCCGATTAATACAGCTATATACTTGAAAAAAAATCGTTTAAAATGTTGATTAAAGATGTACCTACAGACGCATTCCAACTTTAGCTCAACAGGAACACTTAAAGACTACAATTAAACCCTCTCACAACCAGTGCTCATCACACCACTTCGGCAAGTAATCCGATAACATTACAAACCACCACTGGGCACGCCAATAAACTCACAAAAACTGTAAAACTAAAATGGTCAAAATTACACACAAAAGTATTCGATACGGCTTAATAGATATAACCACATGACGTAATTTTTTTTCAGTCACCCCGAGCTCTCTGGTTGACTCTCGAGCCACTCCATTACATCCAGCCATCTCTCGGGA